TTAGTATGACTCACATCTGATGTTTTCCCCATTGTTTTGCTTCATACAGATTCATCTTCAAGGGCGATGCTGATGTGTATGTTAACGTGGAGAATATACTAGAGATGCTCCAAGGTCAAAAGCCAGACACAGATCTGTTTGTGGGTGATATTATTATCCATGCTAAACCCATTCGCCGGCGCAGTTCCAAATACTATGTTCCAGAGTTTGTTTACGGAGGGGGCTTGTACCCAAATTACGCTGGTGGAGGGGGGTTTGTCATGTCAGGACATACGGCTCGGAGACTTAGCTCTGCCTGTCAACAGGTGAATCAAAATTGGACACTTAATATGCGGGTATATCTTCTATAAGAATTATTTTATGCAAGCATTTTCTTTTTACTTCCAGGTGGAATTGTTCCCCATTGATGATGTGTTTCTGGGAATGTGCCTCCAGCTGATCGGTGTCAAACCATCGCGTCACCAGGGCTTCCGTACCTTCGGGATTCCCCGTCCGTCTGCAGCGCCCCACCTTCAAACATTTGACCCGTGTTTTTACAGGGAACTCATGGTTGTTCACAGCCTCAGTGTTCCTCAGATCTGGCTCATGTGGAACCTCCTGCACGACCCCGAGCTGAGCTGCCACAACAGGACCAGCCCGACATCCTGGCCATTTAGGTGGAAGGACAAGATGGTAGAAACTGAAGGAAAAGAGACGGACTACGGTGAGAAACAGGTGTTTGTCACGCATTAGAAGGGGCAAGGACGAGGACAAAATGCCTTTTTATGTGTTCAGAAGCACAGTTGAGTCATATGATCCAAGCTGGCCGACCATCTTTGGGGAAATGAATTGGCAAATGTTCTTCAGACTTTCAGCCAGAGAGCCCAGAGAGAATCAGGCTTTTGACATCCAAGCCCATCTGTGTTCATACAATGAACAGATAAACAGCAAGAACTTGATCCACCAAAGATATTGTGAGAAGACTTTTGAATGTGCAATCCGAATGTTTTGGGTTTTAATTGTTTACACAGAGACACAATTTGATCCACATCAAAAAACAAATGTGGTTATTATCGGGTTTAAACCCATGCAAGCAAAGAGTCAGGACTGGAGATGGCTGTGTGTGCTGGGGGGGAGTAAAGACTTTGTGTTCTCACAGTGAATCATGAGCAGAGGTGTTCCCCTCTCCCTTACGCTGAATGGAGGCACAAATGGGCAGTCGCACTATCTGTTCCCTGGAGGAACAACATGGAGCCTAAATGGAACCAGCTGCACATTGGGAAAACACACACACACACAGAGAGAGACACACGATACAATCTTTACTGAATGTTTGTGAATAAGCCTGACATTTGAAGAATCAGACATGCATACTTTTATGTGAACAGTATTTCTTACTATTATCAATATAATAATTAGATTTGTATAACTCTGTGTTTTTCATTAAAACTCTTTACCTTTACCCTCATGTGTTCAAATGAAACTAGGACATAAGACAACCCTCTTCAGAATCAGAATACCTTTATTCGTCCCACATAGGGGAAATGTGCATTTGTTACAGCAAGAAAATAATATTAACCAAGAAGCATTCATACAAATTATTAAAGATAACAAATTACACAATTTAAAAAATATACATCCTGTAACAGTTCTGAGAGATAGAGCAGCCAGGTATATATGGCACAGCTATTAACGCCATATATATATATTTATAAAACGGACAAGTCAAATCAAGCAATCTGATTGGTTCTTAGCCGTGGTATACTGAGCGTATACCACGGGTAGAATTGTAGTTACTTTTCACAACAAGTCAGTATCCCTCCGCGTCTGAGAAAAACTGCATACAGTTGGGCTGAAAAGCAAACTGCCTGCAGCCGAACCACGCCCCTTAACTGTGATATAATGGCCATATACCACGGCCTGTCGTGAGCTATTGCTTAAATATATATAAATAAGTATTTGATCCCCTTGCAACCAACAAGTATTCTGGCTCCCACAGACCGGTTACATAGTCCATTTCCTTTAAAAAAAGTCCTCCTAATATCAACTTGTTACCTGTATAAAAGACACAGAATCAATCAATCGGATTCCAACCTCCACCATGGGCAAGACTAAAGAGCTGTCTCAGGACCTCAGGGATAATATTTTCCCTGAGGGTCCGCACCCTCTGATGACTGCAAAAGGCTGGAATGGGCTACAAGACCATCAGAAAGCAGCTTGGTGAGAAGGTTCAAGGTTCAAGGCTTTTATTGGTCATACGTACATAGCTACAGTGTAGTTATGACAATGACAAGCTTAGGTCACAGGCTCCTCCAACAGTGCAACACAATAAAACAGAAAAAATGCAAGTAAATACAAAAATAAAAATAGTGAAATAGTGGAATAGTGCAATAAGAGTCTATATACAAGTGATTGAATATGATATATTAGATACATAATTACTAAGTAGCAGCCAGATTAATGTTGTGGATGTTGTTTCAAAAGTTCAGGTGTTTAACAGTCTTATGGCCTGTGGGATGAAACTGTCCCTGAGTCTGGTGGTTTGTGTCCTGATGCTGCGGTAACGCCTGCCAGACGGCAGCAGACAGAACAGTTTGTGGCTGGGGTGATGGGGGTCTTTTATAATCCTGAGGGATTTCTTCCTGAGCCGCTGGGAGTAAAGGTCCTCCATGGATGGCAGCTCCGTCCTGGTGATGTGCTGTGCAGTTTTCACCACCCTCTGTAAAGCTACGATTGAGGTCGGTGCAGCTGCCGTACCAGGCCGTCATGCTGCCAGTGAGGATACTCTCTATGGTGCACCTGTAGAAGTTGCAGAGTATCCTGGAGTCCATGTTGAACCTCCTCAGCCTGCGGAGGAAGAAGAGCCGCTCTCGAGCTTTTTTGGTGATGGTGGTGGTGTGATGAGTCCATGTCAGGTCCTCAGTGATGTGGACCCCAAGGAACCTGAAGCTGCTGACTCTCACCGTAGTCCCATTGATGGCGATGGGGGCGTGTCCCTCACTCTGCTGCTTCCTGTAGTCCACAATCAGCTCCTTGGTTTTGCTGATGTTGAGATGGAGGTTGTTATCCTGGCACCAAGATGTCAGGTTTTCGACCTCCTCTATGTACGCCGTCTCGTCGCCGTCGGTGATCTGGCCGATGATGGTCGTGTCATCAGCAAACGTCACGATGGTGTTGGAGCTGTGTGTGTTGCAGTCATGTGTGAACAGGGATTAGACAGGAGACAACTGCTGGTGCGATTATTTGGAAATAGAAGAAACACAAAATGAGCATCAATCACCCTCGGTCTGGGGCTCCACACAAGATCTCGCCCCGTGGGGGTTGACAATGAACATCTGAATGATTCAGAGACGGCTTGGGAGTAGGTGATGTGATCAGATGAGACCAAAATCGCAATCTTTGGCATCAACTCAACACGCCATGTTTGGAGGAAGAGAAATGCTGACTATATCCCCAAGAACACCATCCCCACCGTCAAGCATGGAGGCGGAAACATTATGCTTTGGGGGTGTTTCTCTGCTAAGGGGACAACATGACTACGGGGCCATGTACCGTGGAAATCTTGGCCGTTGGCCTCCTTCCCTCAGCAGGGACACTGAAAATGTGTCATGGATGGGTCTTCCAGCACGACAATAAACCTTAATATACAGCCAAGGCAACACAGGAGTGGCTAAAGAAGAAGCACATTTAGATGATGGAGTGGCCGAGCCAGTCTCCGCACCTTATTCCCATAGAAAACCTGAGGAGGGAGCTGAAGCTTCGAGATGCCAAGCATCAGCCAAAACCTGAAGGGTTTGGAGAGGATCTTCAGAGAGGAGTGGACCACAATCCCTCCTGAGATGTGCACAAACCTGGGGACCAACTACAAGAAGCATCTGACCTCTGTGTGTCCAACAAGGGTTTCTCCACCAAGTGACTAAGACATGTTTTGCAAAGGGATCAAATTCTTATTTCCCACAGTTAAATGCAAATCAATTTTTATCTTTTATATAATGTACATTTCTGGATTTTATTTTTGATATACTCTCTAAAATAAACCTATACCATTAACTGTTCATTTCTTTATAAGTGGGCAAACTAACAAATCTGCATACTGCAATACTGCAATACTTATTTCCTCCACTGTATGTTGCACATCATTGGTATTATTAGTATCAGTATAGTCTTTGTTGTTTGTTGTTATACTGTATGTGTAGGGGTTTACCAGGGACCGTGATGGTTATACAGTCTGATCGCTGCAGGAAGGAAGGAGCATGTTGAAGGATAGGGAAAACAATTAAGTTGAAAGGAGTATGTCGAAAATATAATTTAAAAAATGAATTTTTTGAAAATATAAAATAAGTCATAGTGTCGAAATTATGGAAAAAGTCTATATTAAAGTAATTCGTAAATATATTGTGAAGTCATGGTGTAGTAGGTTGAAAAATATGAAAAAAGGCATAATTTAGTATGTCGATAATATCATGAAAAAAATCATTTTTAGTAGTTCTAAACATAAAGATAAAAGTCAGTTTAGTGAGTCAAAAAATATTATACATACTATATCAATAAAGTCTCAATATAGTACATTTAAATATATGAAAAGTGTAGTATCTTGAAAACAGTCATAATATAGTGTCTCTTAGCTCATGGCTTAAGTGACATAAGCAATATAAATCAACAGTTTCAAGAAATAAAAACTTCTGAATGACTTTTCACATCCACATTTGTATGTTTTTTTTCACATCCTGGTTGCACACACAGAAAATGATCTTTGATGTCGATGAATTGTGAGCATTTGATTATATGAACGTTGCATTGTTGCATTGGAGTTGTTGACATTGCGCAGCGGTAATATCAACTACCGCCATCAAACACAGTAAAAAGTCATTTGCCGGGGCGAAGCTTTCAGTCAGTCCTTTCCTTCCCTTTGCACTACATGGTATTGTTATTGCCTTTTATCAGTGGACAAGCTCAATAAATCATCTTGTTTCTACATACATAAAGTTATAGTATTCAAAATATAAAACACCACATTCCAATGAGTTTCACAAGGTTTAATTACCTGACCCATATCCAGAAATGGCCTTCAAATGCACTGAATCCACAAAGAAATATTCTCATGAAGAAAAAGCAAGATGGACAAGCATTATGATAACAAGAACAGGCAATACAAAGCGTTAATATGAGATTATCACTGAACTTAAGCAATACAAATTATAGAACAATCATTCATTCCTGCACTTCAACTAAAGAATAAAAAAAGAGAGAAAAAGTTATATTTTAAAAGCAACACAGACCTCCAGATTCAAGTGTCCACTTGTTTTTCTAGCTTAAAACATTTAGAAAAACATGGATGCGATGTCCACCTGAGTTTGTGATGAGATTCATTACCTAGCACACTATAGCTACTATTAGCAACAATGCAGCTCACCGCACTGGGTTTACCAAAACTGCATTATGTAGAATAGCTTTCATGTATAAGTGGATTCCAAATCTTTTGTCCCGAGCTAAGTTTACTCAAAATATGTACGTTTCCCCTCAGGGTATTCTTGGTTCATTCATTCCTGTCTCTACTTTGTATTACTTTCATATCATCTTTGACAAAAGATAAGCTCTGCTAATTTCTGAGCAATGACCAATATATAGTGTGGTGGAAGACAAGGAATGCTTTTAATGTAGATCCTGTTTTCCTTGCAGAATTGTGTTGCTCAAATCATGTATTCCTACCTAAGATAAACCTTTAGGGGTGCAAATCATTTTCACATTCTTCTGGGTGCAAGGTGTAATTATAAACACACATATAAAAAACAAAACAAAAACCTTAGTCAAAAAAGCAAAGAAAATCAACAAACTCAAAAACCCATCCAAACAAACCAACTTGTCACTCTCTATGTAACAGGTACACTAAAACAACAGACGGCCATAAAAGCATGTTAGCATGTTGCTAATGCTCATTGACACACACACATACGTACAAAGATGCAAATGCATATTCAAACTGTATGTACAACAACATTTGTACAAAGGGGACACAAATCAAAGACAGGCTCGGTGGGAGATCAGGCACAATATTCAACAGTTTTGTGTTTTTCTTGATTTTCTTTATGTACTTGCCCAAAAGCAAGTTGTATCTCCATCAGGGCGATTATATTACACAGGTTTTCCTATTCATGTCTATAGATGAACCAGGACAGAAAAAGGAAATGTCAAGGTTCATCAGACATGGCTGGACAGCCCATTGCTCAATGACATTCTACATTTAGGAGCTTATTGAGAAAACGAGTTTATTTGTTGCCATTTGTCCTGAAACATTACCCTAGCTTGTGATACCCATTTTAGGAACAGACTCTCCTGCTTCCAAAAACCACAATACCTAATTTAGGAAGGGGTCTGGCTAGCAAGAGATTTGAGTTTTTCTCGTGTAAACAAGTACACTCTAGCAACATGCTAGCGCTAGATTCCAAATCAGATCTGTCCACTATAAAAACACATCTCAAACAAAGCTATCATCTAGTCCAAATTTGAAAAAGGATAATGGTTTCCCTGCAAACATTTAGTTTAATGTCTTCCAGGTGGATCCAACATCAACATGAAATCTGTGTACGTGCCACCTTAGCAACATACAAGGACAATGTTTAATACCGAGTGGAGTGGAATTAAAAATGAAAAATCTCAGTGTCAAAGAGTCAGCTGTGAGCAGATGCCTGCTCCTAAGTTAAAGTATAATCAGAATGACAGAGGGAATAATAAGACACTCAGCCAGTGCCTGAGTCAGTTGTGTGTATGCCAATAAGCCATTTAGGTTATGTAAATAACAGAACGCCAGATTAACAGCACACAACAATTTACAGCATTTGTACATCAACTCCAAGACTCAGGGCCAGGATACACAACATGAAACAGCCTGAATAAGTGGAATTGCACTGCACATAAATTCATTTCTTCTACTTCCATTTCTCATGGTCATTCGTACGGCAAGACACCCTATGGAAATCTGAGCCAAAAACAAGGTAGCTTACTGTAAATAAAGGGAACAAATTGTAAAACCTTTAGTTCCTATCATAACAATACAGAAATTCAGACATGTAGAAGAGTAATGAATATATAATAAAACACCACAGTGGAGCCAGTTTGAATGTTAAATCTTCAAGCTTCTCCATATACCCCATGACATAATGACAAAATAGATTTGACCCGCACTGAAAAAATACTGTATAACACCTCGAAGCAGCCAACTGTGCATTTTATTCTCCCATCTGCAACATGTCTTCATGTACAGGGGCCCTAATGCCTTCACACAAGCAAGAATACATTCAGCAATAGTGGAACAAACTAAATGGATCTTTGTATGAATGGACAAGAAAAGGAAAAGAGAACGTGTGTATTCAAACTAATACACAGTTTATTTCAAATGCTTATGATTAAAACATTTTTTGAATTCAGACATTGGGAGGGAAACAAATGTTATGATGACAGAATGACTGATGTTCTTTCCAATCTCCTGCATGGGTTCCAATGTAGTAAATTCACAGAGAAATAATGGTGATCTTTAAATCACAGCTCTCTGAAAACAATCACAACAATACACAAGTTATAATTGTTCATATTGTTAATGTGTCTCTGGCTGTAAATGAATCTAGATGAAAGACAGGCTGATCTGGTCTCAAAACACACAGATGCATGAGTCAGTTATTTACATCCCATGTAATTACTGTCAGCCGTAACAGACACCAGGAACTGCATTTAGAGGCGGATGCACGGAAATGACTTTGATGTGCAGTTTTGACACAAGAGAAAGGAGACTGCCAACACGCCTCTCTCCCCTTAGGACGAGACTACAGTGAAAATGTCAGCAATTGAAATCTTCCTGAAGCTTCTTTGGCTGTAGCATTTGGCAATTCAACAGGGAAACAATTGCTGAGGGATGAATTGCAGTGCGTGGATGTAGAAATGAAGAAAGAGGGAGGGGAGTAACAATAAGTAAATGACTGCATGAGAGGATCTTGTGCAGGAACTTATGAAAACACACACACACACACACAGACACACCTAATGTCTCCACCAACAGTCAACCAATCAAGTAATACGGTGTGTGTTGGTGCAAATACAAAAAAAACTACAAAGAAAATGGTTGTGGTGTGAATAATTGAAGCGGGGCAAATTGAAATATATTTCTCTTTACCCCTAACAACGTGCAGGATCATAAAAACTCAACAAACAGGTTGCCAGTTGTGCTTATAATACGTCCTCTCATTCAAAAGCAAGTTCATGCAAAATCTCGTGCCATGCCTGCATGTCTCCGTGTTTGTGTTTGCGCTCAAAAGGCTAAAAAAAGATAAACCGGCTCTTATGTGTTAGAAATACACACGTATAGTGGTGATGGGACTGAAATGCTGTGTGTTGAAATGTCCATTTGAAATAAGCAACAGCGTTACACATGCAGATGCCCATTCATGTGAGTGTTTGAGCAAGGAGACAGACAAGACTATATGTGTGTGTGTGTGTGTGTGTGTGTGTGTGTGTGTGTGTGTGTGTGTGTGTGTGTGTGTGTGTGTGTGTGTGTGTGTGTGTGTGTGTGTGGGCACCACTGGAGGAACAGTACGTAGGACATTGGACGAGGGAGACGATGACGCTGATGTTTGGATGGTTCTGCTTCTAGAGGCTTCACATCTGTTGTGGGCGTGTTCTGGGCCACATGTCTCTCCACACCCCTGAGTGTGTTTGGTTCTCCTCTTCCTCTCATTTCATGGTTGTTTTTTTTCCCGTTTTTTTGGTTACAGTGATCTGCAGCTTCTGATGCAAATGGTTTTAGATGCGTTGAGGGTGGTGATGGAGCCGGCCAAGCCTGGTTGTGAAGTCTCGGTAGGAAGACAGGCGGTACTCGTTGAAGCTGGCAGTGTTGATGTTTGTTCAGTGGGTCAAGCACAAGTTTAATTTCAAGACTTTGGCCAGAGCAGTTTCCATAGAGATTTGTTGCAGATGATAATTTAACGCAGGTCATCTCGCCACAATGTTATGGAGGTTATGTCATACACAGGCTGCCCTTTGCATGCCATCCAATCTTCAGTCGGGATAGACTCTTCTTCTGCAGTCCTGGACAAACTCAGTCGCTGGATGGAAACAGGAGAGCTCTACTTGAGATCTACACATTTCTTCACCAATTTGTAGCACCACAGGGATATTCAAACCAAAAACCTATTTTCATCAGTTTCATTTCAATGCATCAGTGGTCCAGCACTGCGACCATGCAGCTAGATCCTAGATAGTCTGGGTTGAGTAGACTACGCCGACTGGATGTGTCTGATTGGAAGAGAAAGTAGGACCCTCCAGGATTTTAGACGTTCTAGGTTCTGGTTGATTTTCTGTTCATGAGTAGCATCTGAGCTGGGTATGAAATGCTTTGTTGCTCTGGGATGGGTCTGCTTGGTTAAGAATCTGGCTCTGGGTTAGAGGTTCAGTCAGCAGAGGTAAGAGATTTCAGGACAGGCCAGAATGGGATGTGGTTCTGGTTTCTTGTTCAGTGGGAACTACTACTGGTCTCAGGTCGAGCTTTAGTAGCAGTCCGTGGAGCTCCGTAGAGGGTCACTGATGCTATGTGGTTATTCTGCATCACCTGCGAGAGAGAAATACAGAAAGAGAATGTTAGAATGGACTGAATCACATACAAGGTAAACAATCATTTGAAGTGTACTCCTGTTTGTATCAGGCCTTTTGTACACATTGGAACATTAGCTAAGTCCAAAGAGATGTGTGTTCTGACCTCAAAGATCATCCTCTGCAGTCCGAAGCAGAATGTAGAGCCGAAGGGGTTTGTGTTATTAGCGGATGAGGACCTGACAAACACAAACATGTCATTATTTCAGAGACAGTTTGCATACAGATTTGAAAGAGTACCACTTTCAAGTTACCTAAAGCCCCCAGACTGCCAAAGCCATAAAGGTAGGGTAGGTAAGTTTGAGAAACCGGCTCGAGATACACTTTTTGTTATATTCCATGGAATGCTCTTAACATCCCGATAGCAATGAATATCTTAAGTGCTTTGACAAAAAATCCATAAAAAAATGTCATCTGTGGAAGCCGTAGTACTGTAAAAAGTACGACCAATCATTTTAGCCGGCCCGGCTAAAATAACTGGATGGCTGTGCACAAACTTATCTCGTGCCCTCATTGGTCATGTGCGCGTTCGTGTGTGTTGGAGGAGGGGCTCTATAAGGAAGTGGCAGATTTTCTCCGGATGTGTATTTTTCAAATTCTAGCGATCTCGAGCCGGTTTCTCAAACTTACTTACCCTACCTTTAAACAACATCTAAATTGTAACTTTAAAATGATCTTAGATGGAAGTGGGACACATTTAAAGAAGCAATGGTGCAATGTGATACATTTTGACCAGATTCAAGAGCATATGATCGTACCTGTGGAGCACTACGGGTTTTTCCATTGGGTGCCCGAGCAGTTCCTGGATCTGGTCCCACTGATAGGGGAAGAAGAAGACATACTTTATTAATCCCATACAGGTTTACACACATTACACACACAGGGGAGGACATACATGCACAAACACAGAGGATACATGCACACACACAACCACATGCAGACGCCAGTACCCGGCGGGAGTTTCGAGGTTAGGTGCCTTGCTCAAGGGCACCTCGGAAGTGGCCTTGGAGGTGAACTGGGTAAATATGAGGTATATGTTCACCTCTCCAGCAACCAGCTCACTCCATTATTTTTTTTTTTTGTCCGATCGGGACGTGAACCGGTCTTCGACCCTTCGGTTCCAAGAACAAGTCCCTACAGACTGAGCCACTGCCGCCTCAAACCACACTTAGCAGAATATTCAAGAGACACATTTTGTGGCAGTATACAAAAAAAGGCTTGTTTTATCCACTGCCATGCATCACAAGGTCACAAGACCTGTACAACAATATTTGTCAACAACAACTACTTTGTGGTTTGTATTAGCTTCCAGGTGATAGTACTGCAGCTAGGCCTCAGTGTACGAAGTATAAAAAGATGGTTGATCATCACATTATCTCTGAAGTAAAGAACAAACGTGTTTTTCTCTAAACTGAAAGATCATATAGGACCATATGAATTTGCATCAAGCAAATTGAAACGCGGCCTGTTTTCTTTATACTTCCTTGTTCGGTATTGGTGTTTTTAGCACTTTGTTTTTATTTTTTATTTTTTGGCCATTTTTTGAATGTGTTAAGTGGATAAAAGTCATTTAATATGACTGCAATTATATGTCTTCCTCTGAAGTAACATTGGAGGCAACAGAATCAAAAAGTCTTTCATAATATCAGACTATTATGGATATCAAACAATGGCAATGTTAACAGTCTAAATTAGAAAGCTGAACTCTTTGAAGACTCCAGGAGAAGCGACTATGTCCGATCATTACAGCCCCACCACAGTGCTGCGCCACCTTGTTAATTTGCAACAAAGCAACGGCCTCTGGCAAAATGTAACAGTGCTATAAACTCTGTCTATAACTCACCTTGTTGTAGGTGGTTAAGATGCAGTCCTCCGTCTGGGAATCAGCTCCTTCTGGAGTGGAGAGACACGGAGAACAGAGAAAGCAGCAATAGATCAAAAATCGACATCACGCTGGAATCATTCTTTGAGATACATGACTGATAAGGGTCTCACCTTTCTTAATCACTAGAGGAATCTTAAAGTCACATCGATGATAGCTGTGAGGAAAGAGAAAACATAATTATACACATAGAAAATTAAATCAATGACATGAATGATACAGTGTAAAGGGTAAAAGTTGAGAAACAAATGCTAATAGTATGAGCCCTGTGTGTAGATAATGTAGATGATGCAGTATGAGGCTGCAATGGTTCTGTACATGTTCTATTGTATGTACCAGTCCTTTTCCAGAATCTCAACCATCTGCATTCATAGTGAATGCTCCCATCCCATCCCTAAAGTGAATACATTTTATATTTTTTATAATATTTTTTTATCAAATATTAGTTTTGAAGCAGAAAGTAGCACAGAGCAAATCTCATAACTGGTTTAGACCTTTAGCACATTTTTGCTAGCTTACTGTTACCAAGTAAGATGTAGCTTGATTAAGCTAAAAAATGCTAATAGAGTATAAACTTGTCCAATTCCATGTTTACTGGAATGTATATATATATATATATATATAAAAACATAAATTAGTTTATCACTTTATATTCTAGGTTTGCTCACAGACCACAGTATAGGCTAACATTTTCCAAGTACCTTTCACAATGTATGAATTTGACAAATAATATATTTAAATTATCCCTTGAATGGATTATGTTAGTTTATAATATGGTAAAGGGTATGGTTTAGTTCAAATGGTAAATACAGCCAGTGCATATAACCACTATATTTCCATTTTATTATTGTGATTTACAATGAATTCACGTTGAATACGTCCAGAATGTTGCATCATTATGCAGCAAATGTAGAGGAATCACAACGAAAAAACAGACACACAGAATCATGTAGCTAGACAGAGAGATATTTACATATTGAAGTTGTAATGTCCGGGGAAGTTGGTATGAAGGACAAACTTCTTAACCAGGTGAGTTGTAGAGTCAAACAGGATATCCTGAAAAAAACAAACAGAAAACCCAATCTTTAAAAATGCCTCTTTGCCACATGATTGGCAAGAGCAGCACATTACAGTCCTATCTACTGCAAACAGCAGCAGGGCGAGTGGAAGCTGGACTACACCCCCACTCACATTCATTATTACCAGCTGGTCACTGAGCAGAGGCTCAAGCTTTACCAACTGACAGGATATTTCAGTATGATGTGACTGAAAACAGTCTAAAAAAAAAAACAGAATATAGAATATCACTGCAGGAAATAACAGATATGTAAATGTTGATACTGAAAAAATAGTGTTGCACATTTTTGGCTGATATACATGTCCTATTAGCTTGCAGAAGTATATTACCAATAGGGATCCTAAAGCGTAAAACATATGTTAGACTTATTTCATGCCACATGCAATTAAGACACATTGTAGGTGTTTTTTGTTTTGTTTTGTTTTTTTAAGATCATGAATTAAATTAAATGCCTTTCTAGTATTTGTATTAGCATGTATTCATCATCTTATAAACATCTTCAGCAGTAACATACTTCACTGCGTCTCCGCAACCATGTTTGCACTTCTTCCTTCGCGAAAAGTACATTACTATGGACGAGCCGAGCGTTCAACATTTTAAACAATTCTAAAGTAAATCAAACACAACCTTTTTTCGTCCAAGACTTCATCCAGGCTTCTTAAAAAAAGAATTCTGGCTTGAAATCAAACGGTGACTAACTCAAGTTAAAGTGGATGAGTTCTTAAACAAGAAAAAACAATAAATACAACTACTTATTAAAACACGACCACTTAAGTATCCAAACGTATGCACACAAGAGTAAGGCCGAGTTTACATACCACTCCGAGGGTGAAGTAGTTGAAGAAGTAGTCGTTACATTTGGAAGGAACCTGCTTGTGTGGAGACGGAGAGTGGATCTTCATCTAAAAAAGAACAAAATTATACAGATGATAAATGACTATATATGTCGTCAAGTAATGCTATTATTGTCTTTTTTATGGTCAGGCAGATAAAGAGAAATGTTGCCTTTATTTGTCATGTTTCTGGCAATAACTGAAATTGGCTTTTTATCTGTTTAATGTGAACTGAACCAGCAAGTTAATAACTAAATTATTCATCAGTGCTGTTTGACTGTTGCTACCCGAAAATGATTTGAGGAAAGTAATGAGATTGAACCACAAAGAACATTTCTGATGCTAAATAAGGGTGAGAATGCTTGTTGGGTTAGTCACAGTTTACCAATTACAGATTACCAGTCATAATCACACTTACACTTAATCAAATTTCAATATAAAATGTATTTGTATGCTAAGTTTATAGCCAATGAGTAATTTTCTGCCACTAAGGATTTCTCAATCAACATAAAAACGAGTCCCACAAACAAATGTTAAAAACACAGCATGAAGTGGTTTCACGTAAAAAATCAGCAGACAAACTAAACCACTAAAGTTTGCCAAGTGTTTTTCTCTGATAACTTAAACTCAAGTCATCTTATGACTTAAATCCTCGCCTGGTTTCAACAAATAAAAGGTAAAAGTGCTGATTCTGAGTAGAAAGCTTTAAAAAAGAAAATTTGAAAAAAAGAGGGGACGGAGCTTATGCCTGCTCATGCGGGAGATTCTTCCTGCAGATTGTCAGCTAAACACTGCCGTGAGTAAACGCCATATCATGTTCAAAACCACATCAAGGATTATTTCTGAAACAGTATGGAGCTCAAATGCTTTGGTGCAAGGTGAGTTCCTTTTTTTATTGCCTGCTTTTTTACACATGCTCTCTCCAGTACAGGTTAGCTCTGAGTGTTAGCGATGCTTGCTAATGTAAACAAAGACCATATTACGTCCAAAACAGTCGGGCATTGTTTCTGATAGGGCCGATATTACGTCATATTGGACGCAAATCTGGATCAGCTCCGTTGTACCCCCTGTTTTTAGAGATTTGGGTACGGAGGAAAAGAGAGAGGGGTTTGTTTTCTGACACTTTGTGAGTTCCCTGAAACACCGGGGACACATATTTATGTATTAAAGACATCAACAATTGCATTTTGCATGATAGGTCCCCTTTAAACTCATTTAAGATATCCTAATGTATATCATGATTTCTTGTGATCCCACACTCAAGATGTAGAAGCCAACTGCCGTGCACATTCAACTGAGTAAAAGGTGGACACTCTCTTGCAAAATGTAGCATGTCAGTAGCTAAAAGACTCAAATTATGTTTAGATTAAAAGATCACAACCCCAGGGTGGATATTGAGTTGACAGAGGATGAAAATCAGGATAAAACAAGCAAGGTTTTATTAAAGACAATGAAGTAGTTCAAACAATGACAATAAATGCACACTTAAAGGAACAGACTATTCCTACCTTGTCCTCAGACTTGAAGAAGACTTTATGTGGCGAGCCCAGAGCACCCAGTACATCCTGACATGAATCTCCAAAGTAGATGCGCCTTTCTATCGACCTCACTTTAGAATCCGCCATCCCACCTGGACCACAGCCTGTATTCACACAATACAAACAAACAGGAAAGTAAAATATTCAGTCTCTAGCTAAATGATGAAGAAACAGCATGTCAGGGGAAATGGTTGTCTCCCTGAGTGTGGCCAGTTGGACACAATCACTTTTTGTGTTTACCTTACGTCAAGATATACATGGTCCATACGTTTTATCTTGTTTTGCTGTGATGTTCATCGGAAAAAGAGCTGTAATAAAAATACTATTTAAGGTGGACCTATCATGCTATATTTGAATAATATAGTGTAGGACCATACCTATATAAGGCATATTTATACTTTTTTTTTTTCAAAATATCAAACAGATCATGCATTTTAGCCATGCCTCATTTTGCTCAATTTGACATTTTCTAGCTCTGTTTTTGCAAGGGCTGATTCAGTGAGAACAGCACCATCTACTGGCCTGGCATATGTACTACAGCGTCTCCAGCGCTTTCGAACGGCAATGGCCGTAGCTGTCTCCTCCTGATTGGTGGAGTTGGCCCAATAGCCGTAGCGCCACTGTCCTGACGTCAGGACAGTGTTCAAATCTGGATCAGTTTTTATCAGATCCGTTGCAGCCCCTTTTTTAGAGATTTGGGTATGGAGGAAAATAGAGAGGGTTGTGTTTTCTGACACTTGGTGAGTTCCCTGGAACACCGGGACACATATTCATGTATAAAAGACGTACAAAAGTGCATTTTGCATGATAGGTCCCCTTTAAATATTACTATCCACTACAGCTAGTTAAATATTTTAACCAATTTGCAAACTGAACATAACTACTAAAATATGAATTACTTATTACTAATTATTATTATTACTTATTTTAAAATGTGTGTAGAATTTTGCACTTTTATATGGTAAATGCTTGAGTCAAAGTTCAGCAACATCATTGATTTTGATTCATGTTTATCTTTTGTGCGGGAATCCAGGAAGTGTGCATATATTTGCCTCGCATGGAAAGCATTAGAACTTGGATCAACCTGATGAAAAATTGTAAAAACCAAACATTTAATGTCAGCGCTGTAGATTGAAAGCCTGATAAGCAAATGGATGCTATTATGCTTGCCATGGCATATTTTTTATTCCCTTACAGATCTGAGATTCTGTTTTGTCCACACCCATAGGAGCGGAGGTGCAGAGGTTGAACTTCCCCACATTTGAGAAGATACAAATGTGAATAATAAACCTCATACACCTTTGCTATCATTTATACAATGTGCTTCAACACAGCTAATTGATAAGAACATTAAAAGTGATTAATAAATAGTTTAAGGTCAGTCTCCCAGGTATTAAATATTATAATGGTTGGATTTCTCTGTTAACTCCAGTTTCACAGCAGTGTTATGTATTGTGGTAGGTATGTGATGGAAAGTCAAGAGAAAGAAAATATGTGTGTCATTTTGGACAGATGTTGATCTATAATAAATCTTTGTCTTCAAGACATAAAGTACACAAACAGTTACCTGCAGTGAGAAGGCGGAGTTTGAGCCCCAAGGCCCCTGCCCGGTCTCTCAGGACATCCACACACTCCGCAAAGATGTTGCCAAGGAAACAAGCCAACGGCATTGCCGGAGCTCTGAGGACAGAGAGTACAGTGTGTGTGAAAGTCTTTATTTTTTTGTTAAAAATAAATGTTCTCACTTTTTCACATTTCAAACTGTTAAAAGGGGATATAAGGATCTCACACGCTCTTGTTTACTTTGTCAACAATGGATAATTATGATTAGAATTGTGCTTATTGACCAATATGGATCAATATAAAAGTCACTAATCACTATTTACAAAAACTGGTTAGAGAACCTAGTGCACCCTTTGTAAGAGGCATGTCCTTTATATAGGTGATGTACAGTTTGTGTGTGTAAAGCCTCTTACACACACAAACTGACACCAAAGAACACCTAAGAACACGTCGCCTCACGTCGCCTCACGTCGCCTCACGTCGCCTCACGTCTCCTGCGTCTTGGCCATGTGTCGCACTGGAACACACCGCAAAGACTTCAGCCGACGGCCAAGAAGCACGTACGAACTGCGCATGCGTGAGTGGCAATAACTCTCCAGACCAGCAGGCGACGGTAGTGTGTATTCGTCATTCAAAAGAGGCAACAACCGGAAGACAGACTGCGTGATACACCGAGAGAAGAAGAACAGACTGCGTGATATAAACAAACAACAAATAGCGTGTGCGTTCCATTTTCACTCTACAGCGAGAAGCTCATGGGGCTTTCCCGAACCTGTGTCGAGAGCTGGAGTTAAATTAAATCTCAGATTTGCCTTCTTAATAGTTTGTTTGGGTCCCTCACTTCCGTTTCGCTTCTCATGCACTGATTCGCTAAGCTGAACAGCCAATCAGAGTGATTTCTTTGGCCAACGGCCCCCGATTCAACATGTCAAATCGGCGGCGGAAGGTGTCGGCACGGCCGAAAATACACGACGGTGCACTACACACTAATCTGAGTAGGGCGACACAACGCTCATCGACGGCCCGACATCTATCAACATCTATCGACGCCGATAATCGGCTCGGTGTGTAAGAGGCTTAAGTGTGTGTGTGTATGTTACCTTGTTTCTTGCAGGTTGTTGCCAGTGTAGATGTGCATCCTCTTGACCATGGCCCCGTGTGGAATCTGCAGGGAGGCCAAACCCATGGCAAAGTTAGGCTGCCAAGGCAAAACAACTGGGAGTGATAGGGGACTGGTACATACTGTGTTTTTGTGTGAACAACAACAAAGAGATGTTTACAGACATATATTTTACACAATTACAGAAAGGTGTGGAGTGAAAGTCTCATAACACTGACTAACCTAAACACCACACCGTGTTATCTCTGATGAGTGACAATTATTTATAACCTTTTTTGTATCCAATCGAATCAAATGTCATGTTACTCAACAGAGGTTACTACATTGCAGTGCATTCATCACCACCAAGCAACAGATGAGTCATTCTAGTATAGAATAAAAGCTTGCAGGTCTTAAGAAATAAAATAAAAAGTTATCCATAGTAAGAAATAAGGCTTACTTGCCCCGAGAAAAAATTAAAGACATATAGGAGTAACATAATTGATTAAGTTCAATGAACATTTTAAAGTAACACAATAGCCACCATAAAAGAGATTCAACTGATTAAATGAACAATTGTAGATGTTCACAGGAGTCTTCCGTTATTGGGAATAGTCTACATTTTAGGGGTTAACAATCAAAAAGGTGTCCAAATGTGTTCTTTTGTACACGATGCATTATGAACCTTTCCATTGTTTTACTAATGCATCAGTTTTGTCTAAAAACACTTAAAGGTCCGATGTCATGCTTTTCTGGTTATTACCCGTCCCCTTGTGTGTTATGAAGGTTTTTCTGCATGTAAACGGTCTGCAAAGTCACAAACCCTCAAAGTACACCCTGTAGCGAGTAAAACTCTAACACAGAAAAGACCTGTCTATGCTGCCCCAGAACGCCTCGTTGGAGATTTTTATTTTTCCATTTTTTCCAGTTTCGCGATGTCTCGCTGTCTCGCAGACCCCACGCAGCATCCAGGAAACGACACCAGTAATACAGCTTACACTGTCTGCTCCTCACAGCAGCGAGCCGCGCAACGTCCCGCCAACACGGCACCCAGACCCCACGCAGCATTCTCATCCGTTTGTCATTACTGGTGTCATTTTCTGGTTGCTAACGCCATTGTAACACATAATCACTGGTGTTCCGCTGTAACGGTGGTTGGCTCATCAGAACAGAGTGGGCGAGCTGACCAATCAGAGCACAGTGGGCTCACAGGGAGGGGGGGGGGGCAGGAGCTCCAACAAGCCGTTTAGGACAGAGAGTGAATACACATACTATACAGAGATGCTGTATGAGAAACCAATGTGAGTTTGGAAAATTGAACATTATAAATCTATTCTAGTAGACCTCAACAATGGAATTATGATCAGTAGAAATGGCCATGACATGGGACCTTTAATTCATCTCAAATGCATACATCTTACCAACTCACAACAAACAGGAAACAAACTACAGGTGGGCTTTAATGACATGCAACAAAAGATAATAATTCAAACAAAAAGCTGAAACTACCATGTTTGTACATGCACACAGCCACAGATGCCTAGAAAAGCACCAGCTGTTGTTTCAAATGGCTGAACAAACTTATTTCACCAAATCAGCATGCAGCTCAGGGCAGATGTAAGGTTTGAGAAAACAAATCAATGCAGTTATTATGATATCACGGATATGTTGGAGCAGCAGAATGGCTGAACCACAAAGACGTGAAAAGCTGCAAAAACATAGTCAATAGGATATAAAGTGAACTTAGGGAGCAATACATATGTCAATCAAGATGTGTGCTTTCACAGTAGCTGCAGAATGGAGCCGACAGCTGCACAGTCCGATCATCACTCCAGATACTCACAGCTGTGCAGTACAGGCAGTATAACCACTGAGTAATTGTACAAGCCTCATTCCAAAAACAAATGTACAAAAGGATCAGATCTGACACTTCTGTATGTTTAAACATGCAGTTGGCACACTGAGTGAAGTCATGTTGTGCTGAAAATCTGAATGTAAGCTGCTGGGTGTCAGTGTTGTATTGAAGAATGTAATCATGGAGCCTGAGCTTACCCATGTCCCTACACTCTCTACTGCAATCTAATTGCACTGCTTGCATAACACGCAATAGGTATTTGAACAGCACACAACTGGAGTTCACACTTGGGGCATTTTGATAAGTCAAAGTTATTTTCAAAATTGCAGGAAATCTGCCACAAAGGTAGGGTGTGACAACAATCACATCTCTAAGCATTTTGGATGGATCTATAGATTGGTGCAGTGAAGATATATTTTTGTAGGGGCTCCCTCAACAAAAAGCTGAATTATTTTTCACTTGGAATATCGCAGTGGCAAAAACACAGTTATGATACTTGTTCAGCGGGATAATCTCCATTGATTAACACCACTCTTATGAGTTTTGAAGCGTAAATGCAATCACTAGAAGTAAAAGGCTAACAGTAGGCTATAAACAAACTACACTACAGTCGCATGACTGGATATCACCACTGCTAAGCTAAAGGCGGCTAATATTTAGCTTGATGATGTTTACTAGTCTTATTAAGTCACACAGAGAAGCTTTGGACATTCAAGTGACATATTTTATATCGCTTAAGAAAACTTGACATTCTCGTAAGACCATTCTTCAGGCATTTAACCACATAAACATTTACAAAAATGTGAGAACAAGAAATGTTAAATTCTAACTCATTCCTGCACAACTCTATTGTGCTCAGGAGTGAACAAGCAGCAAGACAATCTAATTATCCTCTTGTGTTTGTTTCATCATTCTGTTACACATCTTTTGTTATCATCACATAACAACATCAAGCCGTGCTCAAAGCAAACGTAGAACATGACCTCAGACTGTTCCATGTGAAGGGTAATCATTTCAACTACAAGGCTGCCCTTCTTTAACTGGCTGACAAGCAAATTGATTCTCACCTCATATTTAGGAGCTTCATTCCACGAGTCCAGTTGGAAGGAGAAGGACAGGCCTCGAAAGTTGAGATGGAACAACTGCTCTGCAGCATTGTAAACTGAACAGAGGGGAATGGAAATGGAAACATTCAATGAAAAGCTAAATAACATTAAAATTCAGGCACGTTTGTGAGACATCCTTTAATGTGCTTTTGCTTTGTAGTACCTCCAGGGTGTGTAGCTCCAAATGACTGGTCTATTTGCTCTATTGTGGGGGCAATGGCCTGAGAGTTGAAATGGACTCCACTGAAACACAATACACACAGCCTGTGTTACATCTATTAACGCTTATACAGGATGTACTGCATTAGTTGTGGACCTTTTGCCGAAGAAATAAAACAGATTCAGCTGGAAGATAATCATACATACAGACATTAAGAAACACATTAACACAGGGGGACTCCATTACTGGGAGGCCTCTAACTATATAGCTGTATTACTCTGAGATGCTATGCCTTGTAATTAAAAAAGATTTATGTTGCAACTTAGAATGTACAGTGTATGATTACAATGGCCATTAGATAGATGAGAGCCTGTTGATAAAGGCCTATAACAATAACACATGAGAGTCTATGATGATGATTAAAAATCGTTCCTACACGTTTCTAAATGCAACTAGAAGGCAATATACATTTTGCATTAGTATATTTATATTGGTATTATATTTGTCCTCACCAATATTTCAGCTTGACTTTGCTCAGGTCGTACACTTCAATCACCTGCCATTCAGAAAGATGAAAAAAATTACAACGTGGACAAATTAAAATGGTTACTTAGATGTCAATAACAATGCCTAAAAAGTCTGTTTACATCTATCTAGAAAAAGGTGGGAGTTTGCAACTGCTGCTGCTAAATAATTGCGGTGCAATACCACAGCCACCTGTGACCATCCTCCATATCTGCAGTAGAACTCCAAGTTCAATTCAATCACTTTTAAATTCCTGTCTAATATTACCTTAAATAAATACATGTCATATACAGATCCTGAGCTTATTGAGAGTCTTTTCAAAGGTCCTAAAATCAACAACGTTCACCTTGAGTCTCTGATTTGTGGCATCAAACAGCAGTTTAATCCCATCCTGAGTCAAATTCAGTATGAGGTCATGGCTGAGTGGCGTCTGAAGGGGAGATAAACAAAAAAGCAGATTAGCTGATATGCAGACAGGCAAACAATCAAAATCAGCTCATTTTCAACTTAACCTAGGAAACAAGTCACAAAACAGAATGTATGACACAAAAATATAGACTGCTTCATATGAATGAATGCAAGTGTAATTGATGTGTTTTATATTTGGTGTCATCCATGTTAACATGAACTACTTCCAGTTGCTCTTGATACAATCTTTAATCTAAAAGGTATATGATAGTGTAAAAGCAACTTCCCTTTATGACCTTAGGTAATAGCTATTGAACCTTGGGGGATAATTATAGCCTGACATGCATTTGATATTTGAGGCTGATAAATACAAATTATATGCCTATATATTTTTTTTGTTTAAAATAAACTATTTTTTCCGGATTGTTTACTTTTAAGGAGGATTTGTAGTACACTGAAGTTGCAGATTGCAACCAACTGAATGCCCCTTTGCTCACCCCACACTTTCCAATCGTGTCATAGAACCTAAGGTGGCCTTCAGGATATGCCCTCTCAAGGATCATTGTTTGTTTTTTCTGTTTTGGGCTACTGTAGAAACATGGAGGTGCAACATAGCCAACGCTGAAGAGGACCACTTCATATATTCTTAGTAATTCATTTGATAAAACACTAAAAAAAATGTTTGTCATATTGAATCTTATCAGCCTGAATACACAGCAATACTAATATCGATATACGTTTAACAAAATACTTGAATGCAATACAGGACAGCCTAAACAAAACTAAATAAATACTGCTGCCTAACATGAGATTCTTAAACAAGCTATTTAACCTTTGTTGTGTGTTTGTGTCCGAGAGAGAAAACACAAAATAAAGAAAGACATTTATTACCTGTTCACTGTATAGCACCTGGACATTTTTGATGATGCGGCAGTGTTTCTGCAGGATAGAGATGGCCTGGGCCAATGGCATCCCTGAAAACACAAAATTGAAATGAAGAAATTGTATTTCTTCTGGAGCCTTAGCCGTTTACAGTTAACAATAACATAAGCATGCAAGAGACACATTAAATGTGACTTTCAACATTACTGATAGCTTGTAGATGCATTTGTTCTTTTCATCACTGTTATGTTGTAAAACTTACCTAAGGCGAATTCCCATTGCTCATTTCCTAGTGATCTCTCAGGCACCACCTCAAGATCCAGCATTGGCAAGTAGTGGGGGGCAGCTCACCTCACCTCAAGACACAATGGGACCCTCTGAGGGACCCTTTTTTCCTCGCCTGTCTCTCCCTGATCACAACACAGTCTCACAATAGTTTAAGATCTATCTACTCTAATTCATAACTCTATTGAGTAATTGTTCTAAATGTGACCAAACAACTAATACATATATGGTATAAAGAGTGGTCCCTCACAAGTCATAAGTGTGTTTAATATCTAAAATGACATCCACAGAGCCTCGTAATAAATGCATACGTTAAAAAAAATTATAATCTATTTAACAAGTTACCCAGGAAAGACTGACAGCTTGTAGGAAAACAAATTACGCAACCTGTCAGGCAACCTAAAACGAACAAGGCCAGCTGTCAGTTAACCTATTACTTGTTCGCGTGGTTTTAAAATCCATACGGATGAAAAAAAATGCAATCCACTCGAAGTCGGGAATAAACAAACAGATAAGACGGACGTGTCCATTAACCACAATGATCTGCTAAGAGCTCTTATTTAAAATCAACTTGTCCGGTTTCCGTGCTGCCCTGTGTCTCCAACACAGCACCTGATCCAGGGACAAACAGCTGGAAAATAGAGGCACGACAACACTTTCTCAGAGCCTGAATATTGACACTGTTAGCTGTCGTTATCTGTCACAGGCGGGCGGTTACGAAAGCATCAGCGCTCGACAACAACACTGTTTATTTGCGCTATGGGCTAACGTTAGCTGATGAGCTAGCTGCCACTAGTGTACTGGTAATGAAGTATAAATGTAAATAGTCTAGGTGAGGAAACAAAATCCACATTCAAGACAAAGAAAAAAATATATCGCAGTTCAGACTGGCACGACGTAAACAAAGCACGTAGAGCTGTCTGCTGTCTCTCTTTCTTCCTCTCACCGGAGCTTCAAGCTTTGAAGCTAGCTCTTCAGCAGCTAGTGCGCAAATTCAAAGTCCTCGCTGCGAGACGCTTCCCTTGTCAGCTCGTCAGGCGGTAATGCTTAATGCCCACGGTGTCCCTTGCTCGGGTTTAATATGTGTTCAGTGTCAGGAGCAGATAAGAGCAACACAGTGCCCCAACAACAGTAACTTCAGGCATCAACAACAGCCAGCAGGATCAGCTGATAATTCAACTTCCTGTTTTCGACGCACGCTCTCGGTTGGCGTGATGACGTCATGGTCAATTGAAACGTTTTCGCCAGCGCCATAGATAGATACAGTAGATCTCTATATGGCGCTGATTTTCGCCATTGACTGTATGGTTTTCGCGCAATACCTTTTGGGGTTTTACTGTATTATTAACTGTATAGGCAGAAAAATGGGCTTGTTGGAAAAAAGTGTCTCAAGATTTTTACTTTTCTTTAAAACTTTGCGTATAACATCCTGAAAAAAAAGACAAGACAAAAAGCAATATTGAATATTCTTTTACTCGAGTTTGTAGAAGAAAATATTAATGAATTAATTTGATTTATCACCGTATGTTTACCAAAATGCTCTCAATGAAAACAGTACGAATTATTCAAATTCAGGATGAAAACATGTTTTTTTAAAGTTAGTGCAATAATGCCAAGAACGACAGCAATATGGCACATCTGGGACTTTATTCCAAATCACCCATTTCTTAAATTAGGTGGTCTGCCCTATTTGCTTATGTCCAATTACAATTTTTTTAAAACCTTGTTTTTTTCACCGCACCAATATCTCAGTTGGAATAATCGTTAAATACTATTTGTCTCCCCTAAATTGGTTTGACATAATTTTTTCATTTGTAAAACAGTTATTTATTTTAGAAAGTCTTCCTATATATATATATACATATGTATGTTAATATCCTTCTCAAAGGTGTGTTGATATATCTTTAAGGGTAACATTAACCACCTGTTTTTCATTGTCTGTTAACCTTTAATAATAAAGACAAATAATAGACAAAATGTGTTATACTTTATCGAGCAATAAGTCAAAACTCAAAAATTAAGTATTAGGTCCCTCTTTAAGAAAGACTTTGTCTCTAATCCATTACTGGATAAAGTTAGTTTCCAATAGCTGTTTCCATCTTCTAACATGGTCAACATCAAGACAAAGCAATTTCATTGATACTAATTGTTCTTTTGTGGAATTGATGATAAAACAACCAAACTCATTTTGGAGCTATCCTAATAGTATTATTATTATTTTTTTGAAAGAATTCACCAAATATATATCCTCCTGGGACCCAGCCCATTGACAAATGTCCACTGTAGTGGACATTTTGTTAACATGCATCTCCTTTTACTCTTTTGAGCTACTCTATCAATCTCTACTGCACTGTACAGAGGACATCATGGGCTTTCCAGTGATATGTCATTGGTTAAAATTGCATGCTGGGAAGTTCCTCTTTCATTTAATCCAAAATGGCAGGCATACCAACAACAACATTTTATAGAGGCAGGAAGAGAAGTCAAATAGTGTTGATTAATTGTTATTTTTAACATGAAAATCACATATGTTCTTGTTTATTAACATGTGAGGAACTATATAATTACTTCTGAAAGCCATTCAATAATTCAAGTTTTGAAATAAGAGCTCTTTTATAAATGTCCATTCTAGTGGACGTCAGGATGCATCTTCATGGACTTAATGACTCATTATTGTTGCAGGAGACGGAACTAAAGCAGACATATATGCCAGATAGTTCAGGGACATTCAGATTTGGAGCTCTCAGATGATGAGAGAGATGACGCTTTCACACGTGGGATAGAAGAGGGTCAAGAAAAAGGGGAAAAAGAGGTAGGAGGCTCCATGAGCGCACACAGGGCCGCCCCTCCCTACAGGCCGATCACGCAGACTGCGTGGGGCCTCACCTCGTGGAGGGGGCCTCATCTTGCGGAGGGTTCTTCATTTTGCGGAGGGAGCATCATCTGAAGCGCAAATGCGGCGCAGTGCAAGCGCGCCACAGTTTGCTGCGAGGCTCCACTAGCAGTAAATCTAAATTGCAGGATTTTTGGAGAATTGTGCAAATAGCGGAATCCAAAATTATTTTCACTCCTCGATTCTGGGAAACATTCAAGTAAAACATTAGTACCCTTTTTCTATGGGTAGGCCTATGTAAAGGAGGGGGGAGGGGTAATAATTTATGGAGAGGGAAAGGGTTCTTTTAAAGGGCCCATGTCATGCTTTTTCGGTTATTACCCGTCCCCTTGTGTGTTATGAATGTTTTTATGCATGTAAACGGTGTGCAGAGTCAAAACCCTCAAAGTACACCCTGTAGCGAGTACAACTCTAACACAGAAAATACCTCCCCAAAACGCCTCGTTGGAGATACGTCACTGCCCATTTGAGTCTTCCATTTAGTTACGGGTACGGCATGATGTCATGCCGTACCCGGAACGAAATGGACCAATCCGGAAGAGCTATGGCCACACCCAGCGGCGCTGGCCGCACCCTCTGCCAGCCTAACATTTACTGTTGGAAGCTCTGGTTCAGTTCACAATCGATCCAGTCATGCCAATGCCAAGGACCTGTTTCCTGAAATGTGAGGAGAAATCTGAGCTGTTTGTCCTACCGACGGAAGAACCACGACGAAGTCAGTGGTTGAAATGTTTGTTTAACACTGTTCCTTCAGAGGTTCGAAGAACGTTACTGTGTGCGCGGCATTTCACAGACGAAAGCTTCCAAAACATTGCCCAGTTTGAGGCCGGATATGCACAGCATTTGAAACTGAAGGACGATGCTATTCCTAGTTTGTTTGGACCGTTTGGAGCAGGGGAAGATTTGGGTACACAACCTGTAAGTTTGCATTGATACGGCTGTACCGAGGCCATTATAAGACTGTTGTTCCGCTGAGAGCGAGCCAAAAAAAGCACTGTTAGACATGGGCGGAGCCTCTCTGGTGGTTGACTAATCAGAACAGAGTGGCCGAGCTGACCAATCGGAGCACACTAGGCTCACAGGGAGGGGGGGGCAAGAGCTCCAACTGCTGAATACACATACTTTACGGAGATGCTGTATGCGAAACCAATGTGAGTTTGGAAAATTGCACAGTGTACATCTATTTTAGTATACCTCAACAATGGAATTATGATCAGTGGAAATGGCCATGACATGGGCCCTTTAAATCAGGTAGAGAGCAAAACTGGGTAATCAAGGAGCCAACTACTAAGTTTAAAACACAATAATTTATTCAGTAGAACATAAAAACTTTAAGAAAACTAAAATCAGAGCTGTCTAAAATATAATCTCAGTAAAAAGATAGTCTAAAACTATTTTAAAATACAATTAAAACAATACAAAGAATTAAAATGTTAAAAGTCTTTTCTCAAAACCAGAGTCTTTCCAGGGCTGCAAAGGTGCTCCGTCGACCATCTCTTGGACTGCCGTGGTCTCTTAATCCCTTGGTTGCGTGTGCCTCTGCTCCTGCTGCGTTCTGCCTCTGCTGCCTCCTTCAGTTTCTCCCAGTCTCCGTCCGTCCTCTGCTGCTCTTCTCCTTCCCTTTATAGGCGTGTAAATTGGCTCCAGGTGTGGTCACTCATTGTCAATCAGCATGGCAAGGCCAATCCAAACATTTCAAAAATAAAAGCATGCAGCAGGAAGTTAAAACCAGTTAAAAAGGCAAACACATTTCAGAGTAAAATCACAATAAAAAGGTATAAAACACACACTTAAACCCATGCAATAATGAATCATTAAAATACATTGCCATGTGACATCCTCCCACTCTTTAATGTTGCCAGTCCCTGCAACCATTAGTCTCTGTAACGCACCGGTGGTTGACCAAGATTAGTCCGTGTGGAGCGTCGTGGGTCATTTGCTTGTTCTACTTCTGGAGGGAGTACAGCTACTGCAGCAGGTAGGAACCCATAGAACATTGGTTCTGGCAGTCTCTGAGTCTCTGTGGCAGGTTCTTCGACAGGAGAGTGAACATCTGCTGGGGGGGCTGTACACACTTTTAGAGCATTTCTATGCAAGGTTTGTTCACGGCCCCCAGTCTCTGGCTGAACCCATACACCACCCCAGTGTTTCCCACCTGTTCCAAAATCACATAAGGTTTAGAATCCCACCATGTACACAATTTACCTCTTCCCTTTCTGTTCCTGTCACGCACCCACACTCTCTCCCCAGGTAACAGTGGTAAGGCTTTAGCTCTCTTGTCATACTGTTGTTTGTGTTGGGAGGCTGCATTACCCATCTTTTGTTTAGCCCAGCTATATGCTAGTGAGAGCCTCTGTTGATGGTCCTTCACCCACCCATTAAGGTAATGCCGAGGTTGTTGATAGGCCACCCCTAATCCTACAGGTAGTCTCAGGTGTCTGCCAAACATCAGGAAAGATGGGGCATAACTGGTTGCACTATGTGTCGTGTTATTATATGCATGCACCAACTCAGGCAAGTACTCATGCCAGCGGCTTTGCTTCTCAGTCTCAAGGGTGCGAAGCATGTTCAGCAAGGTCTGGTTAAACCGCTCTGCGCTACCGTTCCCTGCAGGGTGATGAGCTGTGGTGCGACTTTTGGCAATACCATAGGTCTCGCACAGCTGTTTCATTAGTGCTGACTCGAAATTTGGTCCACGATCTGAATGAAATCTGGCTGGACAACCAAATGGCTGAATTACATGTGTCCACAAAGCTTTAACTGTTGTGTGTGCTGTCTGGTCATGTGTGGGTATGGCCCAAGCGGCAAACTCTGGGGAAGAGCCGGGACGCCAATACGGAAGTGCCACAAACTGCAGTTCATATATTGGCCGATAGGCGATGACTGCAGAAAGGAGCAATTTCCATAGAGCCCCATGTTAAAATGCCCAATTTCACAGCAGAAAAAAAACGTTTCTAGCCCTGGATGCAATACATTTTATTATGTATATAGTTAGATTCCACCTTCATGATTATGGATCTGTGAGTGAATTGTTTTCTAACATGACCCTTTTATTTATATTAGGTCTTAAAGGTTTTGCATAAATTAGGGCGTGGTCACATTGAGTGACAGCTCTGTCAAGTGACTGCTGCTGTTAGCTTTTTGTCTCTCTGCTAGCTGCTCCGTCTCCGTGAAGCTACAGCGACTCTGCCTGGTCAGTTCATCCAGGGAACACAACTTGACCCCGGCCGTGTTTGTTTGTTCTTCATGCTTATATATGGGACTATTGTGACTCGCTCTGCGGTTAAAACAGACGG